ATAAACGTACATGATATCCGTCTGTGACGTGAACCAGGAAACTGTGCTGCACTCGCCGTTCGTAATCCAAATTCCCTTTGAGGATCAACTCGCCAGAGTTAGTGATTGAGAATCTCTCCAAATCCTCCACCGGACCCACCAGCCAGAATTTTAAACCCTAGGATCGAAAGCTATACTACGCTACTATGTCATGATTAATTTGCATTTTTATCGTTAACGCGAATTTTTACATTACTTACAGGATCAGCTTTGTTGACTCCTGTCGTTAGAAGAACGCTCCCAGACGGCGTGTTCTCTGGCACGCTCGTTTGATGATTCTTCAGCACGAATTTCACGGGTAATCGGCCGCCTAGCATCCGTAAAATATAAAGTATCAGTTTGAGATTTGTTTCAAATCGACAACGACTCGATTCGTCATGATATTTGACATTTGACGCTTAACATTTGCATGCAAAACGGTGTATGTACAATTAAATTTTGATATTGATGAAGAATATATTGTTACTGTATCTTCACCGTAATTATTTAATGCATGGACGCAGACCAATTTGTTTTAATAGCCAGATAATGCTAATTAATAAGTAATTAATTGTACATAATAAACTTTTGTTAAATGTATAATAATATTAAATGTAGCTAGTAACTATGAATATATACATTATACATATATCTGCTAATAATTACAACGAAGAAGCCATATAACAAAATAATAATAAAGAAAATTATCATGTATAGTTTCAAAAATTAGTCTATTAAAATTTATTATTTTCTAATAAAAAATATATATTCGTTAAATCTGCATGTTATTTACCTGCTGTTGGACCAACTGTATCTTCTCGGGATACAATAACCGTGGCAAGAGCGTACCTATCCGCGTTATTCACTTGAGTAGCCTATTTAATGAACAATATTATTATTATATTTTTAAATCTATTAGAAATTAAAGCACATTGATATATATCTACCTTAATAACGATAGTTGCTGGCGTCATTAGCTCGTGGTCCTGCAACGAGCGTATCATGACGATTTCAGCAGTCTCAGGATTCAAATCCAAAAAGGGTAAGATTCCACCTTGTATCGTATATCGAACTGGCGCGTTTATACCGACGTCTTGATCTAAGGCTTTTATCGCGGCAGGTAACACCTTTAATTGTTTTCTCTAAATAAAAAAAATTAATTTTTAATAAATTATTTATTTATTTTGAATTGTATAGAATCTAATTCGATCAAAGTAAACTTTTATGAAGAAAATAAGTCAATCTTACCCCTTTGATATGACGAGGTACGGTGATCTTATATTGATCGTTCAAAAAAGCTGGATTTTGATCGTCGGCATCGATAACATTAACATATAACGTTGTCGTTGATGAACGTGGTGGATTGCCTTGGTCCTGTAAAGAACAAAATTCTTTGCTGTGAAATTGTGAAAAGTTAACATTTATTATTATTTACTACTGAGAGACATATAATTATATTGAGAGAAAAAATATTGCCTTTCTTTGTTAGAGTATAACGACAAGCGTGAGAAATGGTCAGAGGAAGCATTTGTTTGATCAATCTTCTGTAATCTTCACTTGCTCACTGTTGCGTATCGATAGGCATCGATCATCCGAATCAATTTATTCAAGACCGTTATGATCTATTTATGGTACTTTTGTGACATTGAACTTTATATGGATTTTGCAGATTGTGTTACGTAAAATGAATAATTTCTATTCAGGAATTTTATCAATTCAATTGTCTCAGATCTAAATCATATTTTTGAAATAATGCTTCTAAATAACTTTTTAGCTTCGCAACAACTTTTTTAGATATTTGATTTTATGCAATGCAATATGCAGGTTTATAAAATAGTGATGGGATCCATATATATGGTATTATTGTTTATTATTTCTTAATATTTAATTTTTTAAAATATCGAACTGGTATGTAAGATTATTGAACTTACTTGAGCACGGATGTCAACGGAGAAGTTGGTGAGGATTTCGTAATCCAGCGATTTTCTTAATACAAGAGTGTCTTCCAAAGCATTTACGAAAACAAAGTAATCCTGTGCACAAAGAGATAACTATTTATTCAATGCATTAAATAAATTATACTCTGTATAATATTCTGAATAATTATCATTCGTGCAGAGAAAAGTGACGAGCAATATAGCTGTATGACAAATGCAGGAATAACAGTTTATTGGCGGAAAAATAACTTTAAGCTGTGTAAAATGTTCATAAAATTTACCGAGTGAGCTCCTGGTAGAACTGCGTATTGCACAGTGGAATATGGTCCTGGTTGATCAGCATCGACAGCTCGGACTCCTTGTAGGACTCTCGTGCCGACGACGGTAACCTGAAATAACCATGTTATAATAATATAAAAAGAAACGCGCAATATTAAAATGTGAAGAATCTTCTCACCTCAGAAATATTCAGTACATAAGGCGCATTCACAAATTGCGGTGAATTATCATTCGCGTCGGTTACCCGGATGTTCACCGGTATGACGAACCCCTTTAAACATTAAATATAATTTCTTAAGAAATGATAATAAAAAAAAAATTAGAAATTTTTTACTTAATAAAGCAAAACAATAAAACGTTATCCTTTTTGAAAAATCGTGAATAGAAAAATAGAAAAGTTATGAAAATACATTGAGGCTTTTTATATAAAATTAATCTGCTAAATATAAACTCGGCATTTCTGTTAATAAAATATCTATTTTTTTAAGTTTGTTGAATTTATCGAAAAATTGAGGAATAAAGAAGAAAGTGTTCACGCGAAATGTTTGCATTGCAATTTATATTTTTAGTACATATAAGTTTTTATGAAATTAAAAAGAAATAAAATTAATATTGTAGGATAAACTTCTGTAAGATGGCCATAGAAAAAAGATGGTCAATTCATGTTCATTCGATATACTAGATGATGAGTTAGATTGATAGAACATGATGAGTTGGCCATCTTTTTTCTATAGCCATCTTACCCGAGTTTATCCTATTCAAAGATATTTTTTTATTACTTTAATATTTAATATAACGTAATAGCTTCTAGAAATCATCTCACCGGGTCCAACGTATGTTTTCTCTCGCAAATAACGTTGATGTAGACGCTGGCCGGTCCCTCGACACCCTCCTTATCGAGCGGCCTGATGAGAGTTAAATTTTTCGAGTATGGCGAGAATGTGACGGGGCTGTCGTGCTCCTGCAGGCTCAACTCGATGTCACCTTGCGAGCCAGGATCACCTAATACCCCGAGAATTCCCACGGTATCACCTACGGGCAGATCCTCGCTGACAAAGAGATGCGCCGCGGTGGCTCCGTTCTCCAGAAAGCATCGCGTGTCTCGAGTCACTGGAAATCGAGCGATTGTTAACACGAACAATGAAATGTGGTCTGTTGTTAAATCAGAAATTTTTTAATGGCGTTTGGGTAAAAGAAATTGATTTTTAGAGCGAGGAAAAAGAATGCAAAGTTATCAATAGAAGTACTGTACATTCAAATTACATAAAATTAATTAATTTAGTTGAAAAAATCTGCTAAATATAAATTCGGCATTTCTGCTAATCGGCATTTAGATTCAAATCTTAGATCTATATTTGTTAAAAGTTGTTAGAGGAAGCAATCTTTAGGCATTATTTTTATGTATAAGTTATAGTGTTTTATTTTATTGATAGACATCGCACAAAACGCATATCATGCTTCCACACACTTTTTTTAACTTTTTCTTTAAAATAGATGAAAATTGACAGAACATTATATATATTATATTTTTACATATTTCATAGAACATATCTTATTGTTTGAATATGAATATATATATATATATATATGTGCTGTAGTCTTAAATAAAAACTCACATCGTCTGAAAAAGTGGTCGCTATTGGATTAATGCCGTTGAGGTTACTGGAGTTTCCGGTCGAATACGCACAACCGGTTTTCTGTGGGTTGTACGAAAGTTTCGTGATGGGAAGGACCGTGGAACAATGATCTTTTATAGGAAACTGTCCGATTGTAACGGTATATAAGATCGATACGAATTTAAAAGACAAGCCACTGAGAAATATATATATTCAGTAAGTTGTATAATTTATTTTTTTATTCTAATTTAATAATTGCGGTCCAAGATAGTGCATTTTAAAAAACGTGCAGAAACTAATTAATAATAAATGTTTAAAAAGATTTGCTAGAATAAAAAGTTTTTAAGAGTATTTGTATTTTGAAATTAATTTCATCTGAGAGAAGAGTTTTTTAAAAAATGAAAAAATATATGTATAAAGATTTCTGAATATTTTGCTATATTTAATAGTAATCGTAATTAGTAATCGTCAAGGACTTCTTTATTTTTTTAAGACCGTCTTATAAAACAGGTATCGTATTACTACATAGTACAATGATGTCTATTTTATGAGACCTTTAACGGTAAGAAAGCATGCACTTTTGTGCTTTTAACCAGAAATGCCATAGAAGGAGATAGCTCTTTATTCGTTGCTTGTAATAGTAGATAACTACTTTACACACGCAGCCTTAGGTAATGCTTATGCTGTTAGTACCTATTTACTCGTAATACTCACTGTCCAGTTATTAATTGGATCTGTTCTAATGACTTCAAACAATCTTGCGCAAGTACACGCATTCCAGAAGCGTTATATCGCAGTTAAGTTTACCGTAAACGTAACGTAATTTTGTAATATGAAACTCGTAATACGAGTATCTAAAGCGAGAGTACTTCTTTATTTTATAAAGAATAAAATATCTTTCTATAAGAGTATAAAATATATGCAAAACGTTTAAAAATAAAATTATTATATATGCAGACATAAAAATATTTCTAATGTTTTTTAGAATATTTACGCATACTTTTGTTTTAACATAGAATATATTGTGTAAAATCAACTAAAACATTAATATTTTTTCGAATACTTTCTCTAATAAGACTTTTAGAGAGTAAAGAATATATTTGTAGAGAAAAGCTAATAAAAGTAAAGAATATGAAAGTTGATACACATATATGACACGATATAAAGTCAAGATTATCATGTATGTATTGTATGTGTGTACTATTATTACTCTCTTACATATAATAGGTGAATAAATTACGTTGCATAAAGTGCACACAAGCAGGGGCGGCGAGGTCGTTTATCTAACAACAGTGTTTTAGTTGTTCTAACGCTGGCATAAATCACGATAGCCGCTTTTGTGCCTCGTTTGATACATAGCTATCGCCGTTGGAGATTCATTCTCAGGTTCGCTTTATGATTGCGCATATCGATTGCTGTAATTACGTGTATAATTGCTTGATAAGCGAAACGGCAGTTTTAGCTAAACACCACAGTTTAGCGTTTTGCTCCAAAGAACTTTCAAATTACCGTTACTCTATTTATTCCAATAATGAGCAAATAACGAGTATAAAAATGAGATAAAATCGGGAAGAAAAAAAATTGTTTCATAGCGGTTTCCAAAATAGCGGTTCTATATATGTATGCGTGCCAATATTACGAGCTTAATTGGACACTTTTATATCGTTATTACGGTAACGAGATTGTGTTACAATTAAGAAAGAGGAAGGTAATTTTATTCGAAAATTACACCTTGAATAATCTAGCCGCTTGACAAAGACCTGAATGGACGTCGCGTCATCCACTCGTTCTTCCCGGTTGATCGACGGGAATTCGGACGTTGGAAGGACGCGAATCGGATGCGTAGACGAATATATGCGTGGGCTGTTTAACGCGTATGCGAGGGGGTAGATATGCGCGCTTCCCTGGAGCGGAGTTCCGGTCGCGGCGAACTCATGGCGTATCGTCGGCGGCGCAGCGTTACGGCGCTGGCCTTTCGCAAACTCCTTTCCTAGCATAGACGAGGACCTCTCACTAGCAAAAGCGAGCGACGTTCGATCGTGCGCGAAAACCCGCGGAAATTCGTACGAACTTGTCTCAGCAGACGATTCATATAGACAGACTGCGTGTAATTCGCGCGAAGAGACAAAAAAAAATGAAGCAAATATGACACAATGTCTGTTTTAAATGGCTTAAAGAAGAGCTATACGTTAGAAACTTATCTCGGTTTTTATTCCAATTTATTCATTTGCTCGATTATTGCATTGGTATTCTTTAAGGAAAAGAAACAGGAAAAAAGTATGATAAATGAATTATTATTGAACCAATTGCTCTGTAATTATATCTTAAAAGTTAAAAATTCTATTTACTTATAACAGTACCTCAGTATATCAATCCTGGAAACTGCACTTGTTGAAAGATTCTGAGAGGAACATGTGGGAATAAGGAAGGTTGGTAGATATGTGATACAGGAAGACTTACGCTGTCCGACGTGCGGTTGCAGCACGCAGCAGAGGAGCAGCAAGATCCTCAATACGTTTCGTCCCATGGCAATTTAAGATCATCGTCCACCGATTCCGTCGACAGATGCATCTGCAAAAAAAAAGGACAAAAATCAGTGGAAACTAGGGATAAGGAACGACGAGACGATCATCAGCGCGTTACTTTTGCGCGCAACTGAGTTTCCTTTAATCTTCTCGTGGGCCGTGGGAATGAATTTCCCGGAAGATATTTCGATTTATCGTATCTGCGGAAATAGCATTTCCTGTGTTCGAAACGTCTCACCCTGTTTCTCGGAATCATCACGAAGTTTTTATTGCTTTTCGTCGAGAAGTGTTTCATCTTGCGAGAAGATTTTGCGCGAGATGAGTCGTTGATTTTCGTAAAGATTTACAAGTTTTTAATTAATTGGTTAATTATTATTTTTTAATTGTATAGAAATATTAAATGTATTTTATATTATTGTTAATAATACAATTTTATAATCTAATTAGATTGTAATAATTATTAAATTGTTTTTATTGAATTTATCCAATCTGCATAGATGATTACTTTTCTTCTAATGTTGTAACAGTAAATTATATGATATAATAACGCGACAATACAAGAATTTTACATAACGTTGTAGGATCTGTCATTTTTTATTACATAATTTTTCAGTGTCTATCTTTTTATATCTAATATAGATCTCTTTATATATAGCGGACTTTTCCGCTATTTCATTATTATACAAACAAATATAGCTAATTCTATTGTAATTAAGTAAAGTAATGCAAATTTAAAAATTATTTTTGAGAAACGTTAAGTTTTGTAAGAAAGCAGTAATAAAATTAAAAAATAATTATAAAGAGTCACGCAGGCAACTTCGAAATAAAAATAACAAAGTCAAAAATATATAAAAATTTGGACTTTTTATTTGGTTCTTAGATACTTTTCGGATTTTTTATCATTATTGACGAAAAGATACTAAAACTCACGATAGGTTTCTTAAAAATAACAACGTATTTTATAAATATTGCTAATAAAAGAACGGTGTCTATCGTCCAGTGACACACGTTTCAGCTTTTGACGAGATGACGCAAGCACGTGCCATTAAACGTAACCATTTTGCTGGTAACATACAATCGAGTTTGTCATCGTGTTAGCAGACGAATGTATAAGAACATAAGCGCCGGGCGAACGACCACTTTGTCCGACGACGAAACGCGTCTGCAATAGCGAGCATAACGCGTGGTTAGAAAGCATGCAGAGAAACTCTTTTATTACGTGGAACTATGACTATGTAGGACTGCGCGTCTCATCGGGACTAGGATGACTCGTTCGAATTATCGCCGGAGGCAGCTGTTAACACCTTGCACTCTCGCCTTTCGCGCAAATAGCGCATTTCTTTCGTGACGTCATGTCGGGAAGTTGATGATCATTTTGAGTGTCTGAAATACTAAAGTTACAACGCAATCGTTCCTCCTTACGATTGAGCGGCAAGAATGGAAGCAGATTTCTTTAAGCTTGTTAGTGCGAGAAAGTTTGCTTTTGCGTTTTCCCCATTCATGATAGGTACTTGGTGGTTGAATGGACTGGTAGTAGAGAAATACTCATTACTTAGATGCGAATATTTTAATTTTAGTAATAAAATAAGTAAAACATATAACAAAGATGTCATTATAGAAAGATAAAAGAATGTTCCATAATATTTTGTTGTCCAACAAAAATTGATTTTATATAAAATTTACTAAAAAATAAATTAACGTTTATTTATATTATATATTTTATATTTCAGTTTCAAATAGTGTCTAATTTTAAACACAATTTAGTAATATTTAATTTCGAAAACACAATTTAATAATGCTTTATTTAAAATATTGTTTGGTTTAAAAAAATATATTTAGTTTTAAATAATATTTAAGTTTTTAATATAATAATAATATAAAATATTGTACAAATATTTTTATAATGTCTCTCTCTTTTTTTTTCTGCATTCACATTCATATCCATATCCACAAAATATCTTCAATTATCCAACATTGCATTAATATTTATTATTTATTATTATTACGTTTTTATTTATTACCTGTAAATTTGCTCGATTTTGTTTCTAAATTATTTGTGATCTTTGTCTAAAACATTTTGCATAATTGTTTGTTGTTTGTTGCATTCTATGGGATACTTTGGCATAACATGAGAGAGATAAAAATAAGGACAGAAATGCAATAAATTTACAATAAAGAAACAGGTGTAAAAAAGTTTTTTCGAAAATGCCTGGACAAGGAAATTTATACGCAAAATGGTCGGATACCTTGGCTATATGGGGCGCAGTACTGCTTAAATTCACGAACCGTAAATTGAAACGCAACGCAATGGGCAACCGGCGTAAAGGCCTTCGGCCTCCGCTTCAGCGGATAACTGTATAAAAATATCATTAGTAATTGTATTGCGGAAATTGACAGTTCATGTGATCTAAATCTTCGTATTGATACTTCAATTTATCAAAGTTTGTAATTAATTAATTTGTTATTACATTATGAAATTAACAATCGTACGTGTGATATTTACTTTACTCAATAATATTGAAGTAATATTTAATTTAACAATAATATTTAAATGTTGAATTATCACGATCGTGCTCAATCATGTTATTTCGTACCTCTCGTTTAATTAAAGCGTGTAAGAAGTATGAAGGCAGAAGTTATATAAGATTTCTTACTTTCGAAAAAGCATGCACTTACTTCTTATTAATTCCATTTGTTAAAGTATTTATAATTATCAAATTTTTAGAGAAAAAGAATTCTGATGCCTATTCAAATAATAATAAGGGAATTTGATATCAAAATTTGATACCTTATATCATAAAAACATGTTTTTATCGATATGTATGTATAAGCCGTGATTAATTTTTCATCAACAATATTACTTCTTGTTAATTATTTTATATTATTATTATTAATTATTATTTATACTTTATAATTATATATAATTTGTTATTATAAGAAATTACATTTAATTTTATTAACCATAATAAATTACTTTTAAAGATTTTTATTAAGTTTCTTTAAAAAATAAAATCAGAGATTAGTAACAGATACTCACCACAAAATGTGCTCGGAAAAAGCGTGCAGGTCCATGTATCTATATCTCCATTGTTTGCGAAGACAAGAGATCTCTCTCACAGCGCTGGTTCTTTATTAATAACATAAATTCCGCAGATTACTAATCCCTTGATCTACCATGCACTTAGCCACCTCCCTTTACATCAAAAAGCACTAAGGGCTTACGAAGTATACCCTCAGTTGTCTTTATCGATCGACGTGGCCAGACGGTCTTATAATTCACTTCTTTTCGCGCACATAATGAACATAAGCCTAAATTCTCGAATCTTATACTACAAATATACCGATCAATTTGTTCAACTTAATTTTTTCAGTCAAAAAATCTATAATTTTGTCAGATCTTTAAATAAAATCCATATTTTACTTGATTTTTTAAATTCACAATTTACATATTTTTTAATCTTTATATTCTTACGACGATTTGATTCTTCAAAAGATCACTCACTTTCGCAGAGTCTTTTTTATTTTCCGGAGATCTTCAACTCTTTCTTTCTTTAGGAATTTATATTTCAGTATGGTCTTAAATATTTTATATTGCTTCATTTATTTTTGTCGTTTTATTTTTCTGCTTCAGCTTTAATATACACCGTGTACGTCGCACTTTATACTCCGTGCACTATCGTGATCGATCTCGATCAAACTCGGCTACGACTACCGCGCTGTAGGGCTGTAGAACTCTTTACTACAAAACGGAGCCGTCGTGCAAAGCGGCCGGAGTGCCACTCGGCTCACCATTGTCAGGAAGGGGGGGACTGCGGCGACCAACAGAAACGTGTATCTGAATCGCACCGCGAACAGGTGTTTGCTTTCATATACGATGGGGGAACGGACGCGACGCATATGCGTGCGTTTGAATAGGTGTGCACATAACTGACCCCTATCTTCGAGGCCCTTCGGGGGACCTGCGTCGACCTTACCAAAGACGGGAGCGCGAGTATATACTTTCGGTCTTTCCCTCGGAGAAAATTTTCTTAGAAACAAAACGTAGAAAGCTGTAAGAATTAAATGAATAAGATTAAAACGCGATATAATATAACAATTAAAAACAATTAACTTATACGCGCGCTGAGAGAAGAGAGAGCAGGATGGAATTTGCGATATTTGATATGGTGGAAGATATAGATAAAAGATAGTCTCACATTTCAGCAACACGATAGCAATAATTTTGATACATTTACTGTGAAAAATATGAACTAATCGCAATTGCATCTAATAGAGTTAGCGGTATTTTATAAATAATAATTTAAATTAGGATTCTCTCTCTGACCTGGCACAACATTAAATATCTTTCATATACCAACTTTTCACATACGTTTTCTTCTTATCTCTTTAACTCTAATCACGTAACGAATATGAGATTGTCAGTACCGAGCGTACTGTAATAACGCGAGTTATTACGAATCGCATAATCAAGAAATGACTAACAATTGTGTAAGCGCGCAATTTTTTTCGGCAATACGCGTAGCGTCTCGTTCCCCTTGGCGGCTCGCGATTTAATGTCGTGAGAAGTGGTCGAGGGCGAGGGCAAGTGGAACAAGATCCGCGTTGCAGGCGCCGTGACTCGCTTATGGCTTATGGCATCGCGACGATGTCCCTCGTGGATCCATCGATCTGTGAAATTGCGGGCCTCGTCCCTCCACGTCCCTCTTCGTACCCCCCATGGGAAAAATGACTTTTATTATGCACGGTTCTTGCAGTTAATAAACATCGGCTTGTTTTAAGTCCTTTCCACTTTGAACCAGTTTCTGCTATTGTCCGCGATTTACGCAGAATGACTCGCTAACGGTGCGTCCACCGGCCGACACAATTGAGACATGCAATTTATCGGATATTTTCGAAAGTGCTCAATTATTATAAAAGTTCTCAAACGCTCGATCATTATAACAAATGGAGATTTATGTTCACTTTTTATTCGATTTTATGAAACAGTTAGTCATGCTATTTGATTGTTAAAAATATCTCTATTACTCTTGATGATTTTACCACTATTTAATAATGTTTGAAAAATATTTCGTCGTTTTCGTCTCTGTTGTGTATTTTTTATTAGAATCATTTTTTTAAATTATTTCCATTTGTTATTCTGTTAATATTTTTAATCATATCAGAATATTGATAAAATAATGTACTTACTGTATTGAAAATCTTGATATCTTTTGACAAAAATATTTTGAACAAAATTATTAATAGTATTAATCTCAATAAATTAAAATTGGCTGTATAATCCTTCCAGCTGATTGCATTGTGATATTGTATGCACATGAGTCAAAGAAGACATATCGTTTTCCACGCGATCGCGTGATAGTTTGTTTATCATTCACTGAACGGTATATCTGCCGAACGGTATCCGCTCTTTCTAAGAATGATTTAATGATGAACTTAGGACGGTTTAATTTTTATATTTGTTTTGTATATGCGTGTATAATTATATAATATATATTTTTTATATATAAAATTTGATTTCTTTAAAATAAAGATATTGTAATTTTCTAAAAGAAGCAAAGTATTTATTGTAGACAAATATGATGTTAAACGTAACAATTACACAATGTATTCTTTTCTTACAATACACAGTTTATATGAGATAATAAATTCATTAACACAGCCATTTATTGACAAATATTTCACGAAATAACAAAGCTTCTTGGCCATCGTACAAATGCCTGATGTACCATCTAAGAAAGCGTCAGAAGAATTTTATCACATTTAAAATCATGGAATGTCTGACATCGCGACACATATAATTTCTACGTGGACTTATATTATTGACGATAATTAATTAATCCCCTTTACTGGGATAAGCGTGCATAGCGATCGATAAGCGCTGATCGATTAGCATCGCGGATACACGGAATCACGGACACACGGCTTAGCACGGAAGAGTGGATCTGGTCGTCATCCTTTCGTATCCCTCACATCACCGGCGTTCCGTTCCATTGTATTAGAGCATCCTGCCACCTTTGGTGCAGCGTGGAACAATAAGTGGAAGAGGTGATACCTTGAATTCTGCGCTGTTTACGGTAACGCACGAGCGATCTCGCAGATATCGCATGATCATTTCGTAATCGAGAAGACAATAGCGATCTTACAATTAGATCTTTTTCGCGCACTAAAAAGCTTCTAAAATTAACGGTGCAAGTAAATAAACTTTTCAAATTAAGCTGTTGTATTAAATCGGGCATGGAGTATAGTTCTTGTAAAATTGAGAATAGTAAAATTTACTTGAGTAAAATTTATACTTTATATTATTTGTTAAATAATACTAACTTGGATCGAATAAGCTTCTCTAATGGTGTCGCGGCGATATCCGCGGTTTCCATTGTTGCAGCATCTGATCCTCCGGAAGTCTCGTTTGCCCTGGTATCCACCGTCAACGTAGCATGACTGCCACCGCAGGTGAAATATTGAATCTCGAATCTTTTAACATATATTTAGAATAGGTGATATTTCCTTGAGACTGTCTAAGAAAAAGTCAGATATCTATTTATGTGTTTGTATTTAGAAGTTAGAAGTGAATTTTGAGCTATGTTTACATAAGATACATTTTCTTAATGCATATAATCAATATAACAGCTTTTTTTATTTATAAATTGCATATCTTATTATTTATACTTTATATAGGGATTATCATATGTGTGTCAGAAATACAATATAATTAATATTATGATAATATTGTATTGATAATAAATTAATAAATTATTACTATAAAAAAATTAAGACATAAATAAAATTAACAAAAAATCGAGTAACACGTAAAATTACATGATGGATGTGTACCGTCGTTCTGCGTGATAATTCCTCAACAATTCTCGATTCGTGTTGAAGAGCACGCCATGGTGACCGAGACAAAGAGTCACCCATATCGGTAAACTGGGTGTCTTCAATCGAGAACCCGGCTGTTTGCCTATATTGCTGTCACTTTCGTGCACTAAGAACCCCACTTCGCTTCTCATAAGGACGCCCCATTGCGGTACAGCCTTATTTCGAATTAATTATATTGAATTAACATTTGAATAAATAATTGTCTTTTTTTTTAAATTAGGTTATATTTATTCAATATACATATAATTCTTTTTGTGCAAATAATCTATGATACATGCAGAAATTTTATATCAATTTTGATATGATCTATAGATGTTATAATAGATATATGTATATAGATATTATAACAATCGAAATTATAAATACGCAAATTTGTAAATGCTAAGGAACAAAATTATTATAAACTTACATATGTATTTTCATCGCCAACGTGAAGCACTCCGTTGTGAAGATGCGGTGAAGCACGACCAGTTAAAACGAAGACAATAACACTGATTGGGCCTTCTTCCGAGCATCCACCGAGGATCGATGCCTTTAAATCTTCCAAATCGTTTCGAACCCTGAAATATGCATTTAAATACATTAATCAAAGTAACTTGCATTTAATTGTCCAATTGAGGCAATCCTTTTTCATCTTCAACCTGAAATAGAATAAGGAAAAATGTTAAAAAAGGTATCTTACTTTGAGAGGCCTCTTGAAAGCACCGCGCTGTATAAAAGTAACATCGCACCAGGTCCGCCTTCGTCGTGAAACTGAAGGTATGAAAATTCTGAGTAAGATAATTTTATATTTTATTGACTTTATGGAAAAAAAATTAATTTTATAACAATGATAAAAAGCAATTAAAATTTGAGTTTGATATAGAAACTATAATATGTATATGCAATTCCATCACATAAATAATGTCCGATAATGTTTGTATAATCTGAAAATCCGTCAAGTATATTTTAGTTTCCTTACGTAAATACTCACCAGGTACAAGTATCTCTTGACAAATATCTCAAGATCCTCCAAGGAATTGAACTCGAAAAGGTGCAGCTAGAGTACAAAGCAACCTTTCAAGGAGTGTACTTGAATCTGATAACGTCGTAGAACATGAGTTGTCAACCATACAGTCAGAGATATATCGCACGCAATCTTGAGATTATTCTAACACACTTAGCAAAATACCAACGCTATAATTTGAGACATATTCTGTTTCGTCGTAATTAAATGAGAAAGTTAGATTTCACTTTGTTACTCGTTAATGTGATAGAAATGGAGTGACACGTTACTGAATTATTTCACTGAACGTGCGCGAGAATGTTCATTTCGCCATAGATTTATCTTTTTTTATCAAGATTTAAATCTCTGACTGTTTATTTAATATAAAAAGTATACTATTTATAATTAAATAATAAAGAAAAATATATATTAAAACTGACGAAGACGAAATTACTGATAAACAATTGTTTTAAATATATATTAAAGCGGGGAGCACACACTTCTGCATAACGCATAATGCGTAAGCGTAAGAAAATTGATTGGCCTATACACATGTGCATAAGAAAATAAGAAAACATACCGTTTCTGTTAATCCATCTTGAAAATATTGCACACTGTGTTGAAGATATGGCGTATCCTGCGGCAGAGCTACTATGGCCTTTGGCACGATGTTGCTGACCACATTTGGACATGTGGACACGGAAAAACCACCTGCACAACGCCAGATAATCTCCGATATTGCAGAAGTCAACACTTCGATTTGTCGATCATATGAAGGTTTCAGCAAGCTGCAATCAAAAGAAATTTTCCTTATAACCGATTTACGATTCCATATGATAATTACACTTATCTATAATAATATTTTGATTATCGCTTTAATAATATTTTGATTACGCATACGGTAATAGAATAATATATCTGCTGTTTATATAAGGGCACTTACGTCTCGAAATTTGCACGTAGATCTTGCTTGTCGCACTTGAATAAAAAGTGCTTTAGCATGACAGCTTGCACTGCGGTGACGAGGCCTCTTGTTGTGTTCCTGGGCGTTCTCAATCCAAATGCTAAACTTTGTCCATATGGTCGTAAGGTCAGCCCGGTCCTTGCCCATTCGACTTTAGGCGGACTCGCGCAGGAACCAAAGACCAACGTTCTCAAAGTCTATAATGATAGGAAATCATTAACATACAACGATTAATTTTTATGAATTAAGCGATAGTTTTCAAACATTTTTATACGTTTATAAATTTTTATATAATTTTTTATTATATTTATAATAAAATTTATGTATTTTAAAATTACCATGCATGTTTCTTCCTCGATGGGTTGTCCACCGATCACGGGCGTTTTTGGTAGAGCTCTCGTATTACGTGGGTAGAGTATTTTTTCTGAAACACACAATCCAAAAGATATATTAGTACTCACGAAATAGAACAGAGTTTAAAACTAAATGCCTGTTTACACCTGGGTAAAGCTCGTCGGGTTCGGCCATAAGAGCGGCGTATCGGGCTGCTCGAGTTGACAGCAACATCTTCGAAGTATTCTTAATGCTGTGATATTAAAAGTATCGAAAGTATTAGCTGTGATTATTTTATAATATTATATTGCATCTACTAAAACACATTCCATTGTGTATTATATGCACAATGTTAATTCAAATGTTTCTCTTTATACAATTAATAATTATATAATTTTTTACAATAAAATTAAATCTTTAATTTATTGTTTAACGATTTTTCTACTTTTGCCCTTTTTGAAGCGCAAGAAACGATTTCGCCGAGACGAGGGAGATTCTCAGATGACTTCCACAGCCAGTTGTCACCCGCGCGGTGGTACTACGTCGGTAGAATATCCGATATCAATTGAGATCGTGCCGGAATCCGCACCTTCCTTTATATAGGATCTAATATGCGACGCTTATGCGTGCAAGCATTTCGCGAAATATGTACGTCGCGCCGGAGCTTTCAGACCGATCGCGCACGAAAGGTGTCAATTCGAACGTCCGAAAAGAGTTACGACAGCTGGAAACGATAGACATGCCCTACTAATGTCTATTTGTCATGCCGCACTTCGAGCTGGAATTTGAGCGCAGGTGAGTGGCGGTCATTGGCGTAAGTAAATTATCTGAAGATCTATCACCAAGAAAAAAAAGAAACTAACAGAAAAAAGGTAATATAAAGGAGAAAAAAAAGCAGAATAAAGTAAAATGTAAATAGAAAAGATAAAAGAAAAGAGAGCTGAGAAAAAATGAAGGAAGAAAGATATGATGAAAAGAGAGGTAAACAAAATAATAAATAAATAAAATAAAAATAATAAATAAAAAGGGAGAAAAATAAGAAACGAAAACGGAAAGTAAGAAACACACACAAAGAGAGAAAAAGAGATATAAAAATATAAAAATAGGAAAAAATAGGAGAGGCAAGAAAAAGGAAACTAAAGACAAAAAAGTAAAATAAAGAAAAAAATAAGAAAGAATTGTAGAATTTTTATTTCTGTAGCACTCTGAATCAAGTGCTACATTTATGCGTATATTCTATTTTTTTAACTACACAATGTCACATTGTTAATATTGAAGTTATCACGAAGCTTATAGAGATAAAGGATAAAATCAAGATTGGTAAAGGTTGAAGGATCATTTAAAGTTTTCTGTCGGTTGAATGAGGGGTAATTAAAACATTACGCCGTTGCATGTGGCTAGATGTAACAGTGGTTGAAGTTATCTAAGTTCCTGTGTTTCCCGTATTTCCGCTGGTGAGTGCTTTGGGAGACGATGAAGTTTAATGCGATACTGTTTATATACGCGATGGATGTGCTCGGGTCTTTAGACTTCTCGCGTGTACGTCGGATATAACGAAGCATACAGGGGTAAGATGGGGTGAATTTGGGGGCAAGGTTCTTGTTTTCTCGGAACAGCTCGGATGAGCTGATCGATTATTACGGCAGGACCTTGACGGATCTGACAGAAAACTAATAAACGAATGTGTGGGAAAGCCAATACGAGGTTTTCAATCAAATTAACTACATTTACTATATTTAATGTTTTAAGGTCAAGCTTGAAGAAGTGGTTGAAATAAAAGCGTAATTACTATATTTTAATATTTGTATATATAAATAAAATAATATGCAAAAAAAATTTTCATTAAAATCCATTATAATTTTAAGAATTTTTGTTTTAACAATTCCTAAAATAAAAGTAATTTATAAAATTATATATTTAAAGATCGAATTTACATGGATTCTTGAAAAAAATTATAATTTATTTTACATTTTCACTCTTTGTCAGAAAATTACATTTTGATTTCAAATTTTTATTCTGCTTTATATTTTTGTACTTTTTCTTCTACATTTTTAATTCTTCTTGGTATCTCTGTTATTTAATCTATTAACAATTTTTAGTTTAAATTAATTAAAATTTACATTATTGTAAATTATTTTTATATAAAAAAATATTACTATTTTAAAAGGAAGGAATTTTTGAATTCTATTCCTTATAACAATATCAGAAATAAAAATAAAACTTGTTCTCATGCACGCATATGCGTGATGCGAAAAAATTTCGTGATTTTATTTTCTCCATTTATTCTCTCGATTTTATAGATCTAGATTAGACGTCGTAAAAACAAAACGTCGTTTGACTGAATATCGAGAGAAAGAGAGAGAGAGAGAGAGAGATGGCAACCGAAGCTGCCATTTTCAGATGGCGAAGACGTGTATAGATCATCCGGCGCGGCCTTTCGACTACCTCGTAGCTCGAAAGCGATCGCGTGTTCGCGTGCAATCAAAATATTGGATTACGAATTCGCGCCGGAACGGCCATCTGCATTTGGCGATTGCACACCCTGATATATCGCGTCCCTAATTTACATTTGCGAGGCGCCTGTCGAGGAGGCATACCTATCGATCTATTCGTTTACGTTTCTGCAGTGTATGTACACGCTTGTAATGTTCCATAGAATTATGCCTGGTTGTATCCTTCTGTGTTCTATATATCATCTTAACAAAGCAAATGAGTTCGCTTACTTAAAGGAAGAGTCAAAATTATATATATAACAAAAGTGCATGTTATATTTGGATAAAACCTTTTAGAATAAAGTAAATAAAAAGCAGTGTTAATGAACCTTTATCTGTCTATTTAGCTCAGCTATTTTTGACAATAATAAATATTTTTCTGAAACTGCTGAAATTTTTATTGTTTTTTTGTTGCAAATAATTTTTATGAAATTATTCCAAAACGAAATAAGATTTATTTTTTGATGTTGTTCACATACATGCACTATTCATTTTAATAATAATATTTATAGCGTATAAAAAAACGGAAAGAGTAAATAATGTAAATAATGATAATTTGGTTTATTTATCACGCATGCAAGATAAACTAAAATTTAGCTAAAAAATTATATAAGTGCGTTAATAAAGTAAAATTATAATATAGAAATATTTCTCACGCATAAAAAATTACATGTGCAAAAATACAAAATGCGATACTGTTAGTCCTCTTTTTTAGCTTCGCAAACACATTTGGGTTAAAAGTATTTTTATAGTTCTATACAAATTTACTCGCAAGCAAGATGTGAAATAGCTTACTTAAAATTGCAAAGAATTTTACTTGCAGACAATAACTTGTACTAACAGTATTGCAGTCCTAAGGCCAGCTCAGCGAGGACAGAAACTTCGCGTAGAGCAAAAGGACAAAAGCTGGCTTGATCTCAATGTTCAGTACGCATAGAGACTGCGAAAGCACGGCCTATCGATCCTTTTGGCTTGAAGAGTTTTCAGCAAGAGGAGCCAAACTTGTATAGAACTGTAAAAATACTTTTAACCTAAGTGTGTTTGCGAAGCTAAAAAGAACATATTTTATATGGGACATGAAAAGATATACATATATACATATATTTGTTTAACACACATAATTAATCGCTTCGTACACATTGATATTACTCATAGCCGAGAAAATATTTAATATACGAAATATTATGCGGGTAATACTTCATCCAGTGAAGCAATCGATGCTCTCTTTTCATACTTCGTTAAATTTAAGTTCATAATTGGTTTGCACAAATGAGGATTATCGTAATAAAGAGAAAGTTGCTGTAGTCAATTAATAATTTAATTCAGCGCAAAATATTAACTCACTATATTGGAAGTACTTTACTTTAAAGCTTAATATAAATCTCTTTGCACACACATAAAATTGACTACAATGTATGTATATTTAGATTATATACTAAAAAGTATCTAATCTAGAAAGTGAAAGCATTGCAATCTAGTTTTTGTAATTTAAATTACTAATATAATTGAAATAATTACAACTTACAATTAGTTTTTACAATATAAAATTATGTCGTTTTTTTTCTACGGAGAAAAGAGTATTTAACTAGAAAAAAATTTAATTCTTTAACAATATTTCTTTTACTAATTGTTCATTGAATAAAGTATAATTAAACATACTTAAGTATGCGATTTAGAATATAACTGCGTATCATGAAATTAGGGCAATTGTAGTATACTACACTGAGAAAAAGTTCAATTACAGTGCTATCACGGGATGCCAAAAACATAAGTAGTTTGTTCAATTGTATTATTATTAGACCCAAATATCCGGATTATTAAACCAATAATTTAATTATTGTAAGTAGGTATTTTTCAGCTTTTTAAAGATAGTTTTAGTGAAGTTAAACCAATAATTAAATTATTGGTTTAATAATCCGGATATTTGGGTCTAATAATAAGCAATTGAATAAACTACTTATGTTTTTGGCACCCCGTAATAGCACTGTAATTGAAGCAACAGCTTTTTTTCTCAGTGTACAAATAAAAAATTATCTTTTTGTGATTTAAGTATCAGAGATTTTTTTCATACCTCTATCCCGAAGGTATGGGGGTAACTTCTCCTTCCGCATCTCCTTGCAATGTCGCTTATCGCAGGTGGATGTCGCGTTTGTCACAGCGGCCTCCTTCTCTTCCGTCACGTCGGATTCAGCCATTTCTGAAGCTTACTTTTTGTATTTGTTCAAGATTTAAATTTAGGCACACGTTGCGACTCACAGTCTAAAGAATTTCAAACCACCAATACACAGACAGATCGTTGCTGGACACCATCGCAGTTATTTTTTTATGTAACAATCACATATTGAATTTGTTCAACGACACGTTTTTTTTTCGTTTCGGAAGATATATACCTTCTTCTGCTTCATGCGTCAGCTTTATGATCTACAGTCTGATGCAGCTCGACGGTCCATAAAATTCCATTCGTTTCCATTCAGCAGTCGTTCCTTAACCGGCATAACTTCCGCAAAAACGATCACGTCGATTCACACCGTAGTTAGTAAATTCTCACGTTTTCTCATTTTGCTCGCCGAAGACGGAATGCAGGAAAAATAACGTGCCTTGCCTACAGTTTCTCCCGGTAGTTCTCTGATAATCAATGTTAGACTTTAAAAGTCCGCGCTTAAAAGTTGAAGTACGCGAAATTCTACGTGCATGCAGTAATCTTTAAGATGTCGGTGATTTAAATGCAGATATTATTCGGCAGAATAGCTAAATTTTAAAGCTATCTCGCGCAAATTTATTATTTTTTAACAGTCAATAATTGCTTCGTTTTATTTTATTTTGAAATCAGTATTCTCCCATTATTTTACGATTAATTTGTACAATTATTTAAAAAAAAACATTGTGTGTGTGTGTGTGTCTGTCTGTTGTAACAATTTTAAAGGTTTTTATTAAAAATATTATTTTATCTATTTTTAATTTTGACGCGTTATATTATTATTATACATGTAGATGTTAGTTTGTATGTGCATGTATTTTATGAACACGTTCTTTAGAATAGTTTTAGTTTATATTGTAACAAATTAAAATTACGTTTATTACATTTATAGACACTTGTTCATACGTTTAGTACATTTGCATGTATTCCGAATATTTAATATCTAATATCACTCTAATCGAATACCACGAACGTCTGTGAAGGTAACGATGCTGTTTGTACTTTCATTGACTTGCGATAACTGACAGACTGCCGTCAGACGTGAAGCTAGAAATAATAACCCTAACTAACACCCCCGAGCTGACTCAGCTTAGCACACCGCGCGAGCACCCTACACCAGGGTGGGTCAAAAAGAGAACACAACAATTTCGTCGATTAAAGTGTTGTAGCGACTCATCTTACGTATCATGCTTGTTCATCACTATTACAAATTTCAATCTAAAAAGCGATGTATTCTTGCAAGCTATTATTTTGAAAATAGTTTCCGATCGAGACATTCATGCCCTCTTCACATATGCCTATCAATTTTTAATTATATTATAAAAGATTAATTTCTAAACGTTTTAAATAGTTTATAATTTTTTATCACGTAGTTATCGAGCTTTAAATTATGTGAATAGTAAAGTTCTTTAAGAAGATTAATCGACACAGTTAAGGAGATTTAAATTTCTAAAATTCTCAAATGTAGACTTATTACTAAAAGTTTTCAATGCCAAATCAGTGTTTTCCTGCATATATACCCATGTGTTATAAATATTATTTGATAGACTGTAATGAGATGATCTGTAATGGATGGATCGCGGTTAAAGGAAATTGTTCGTCTAATTGTTATACACGTACTGACAGCTCCGACGTGCCCGAATCACGCTTTTATACCTGCGTAGCACCTGGCACACATCTACTCTATATCTAAGCTATTGTATTCGGCACAGATGTGCGGAGTACGAATCGTCTTATCTTATAGATCTATCGGAGCTGCGCATCTTTGCATGTGTTTCGTGCTATTCTCGTGCCGGCCTTACAGACAATCGGAAATGAAGTCTCGCGCTCAGAAACGACTTTAATCAAATAAATTCAGGCACTTGCACTTTTCCGGGCCAGAGGATGGAAGTAGTATGATTGTTCGATTATTATAGCAATATTCCACAAATTATTCCATTAATTACAGTGTTGTAAAATAAGATGATTACAGTCTTAAATCTTGTTGTTAACAAAGCATTTATTGAAATATAAATATCTGTACAAGAAATTATTGCATATTTTGGAATAAATTAATTAAAATGTAATTTATATGTTATTGTAATACACTACAAAAAATATCGATAAAAAATTTAGCAAAAGTCGCGCTTGTGGTATTTAAGTTTCAGTACGCGTGTTTTTAGTTCATTAATTAGACCCGATCAGTTAGATTTTCAAACTTCTTGCAATTTTTCATCACATGCAGAAGAAAGCCATTTGACCATAAGCAACAGTTACCTTTACCATCGAGAAGAACTATTTGTAATTAACTGGAATAGTGTGCGTATTTCCTTATATGATTCTTCCGCTCCATATACGACTAACGCATAATGCGCGTATTTAATCCTTCCTTGCATTACCAGTTTCCGTTATAAATGATAATTAGATTGTCTTATATTGTTCTGAAATAAAAATGTACGCACCAAACCGTAAGAAATTTAAAAAAGTTGATAAATTATTTTTGTTATATGATAATCAAATAAAATGTTAAAATTTAGTTAGAAACACTGTTTGAGTATTGCAGAATTCAAACAATTGTAATAATAAAGTAACATAAAGGAATAACGTCAAGAATAGCGCTGGTATCTTAAAGATAAAAATAGTCTACAAATTATTGATTTATATATATCGAGTCAATCGAGAAGATTTCGATCAGATTATCATCTTCCGACCTTTCGTTTGATCGGAAGATTCAATTAAACGATTCGCTCGGATCACGATGCCCAGAGGATAACAAGGAAGCCGAAGGATCCTTAAAATTGATTTCCCCGCCGTTCTCGTGGTCGAAACGAATCGAACTTCTTGCTCGTTTCTAATTGCCAATTTCCTGATCATCCTACGCGAGTCCGCGCGCGCTCGAACGAGTCTATAAGTTCAAGTTCGCGTTCTGAAATAGACGTGCAGTCCGTGTGCCTTATATACAAGAGAATGCGTCAAGGTGTTGATGCAACTGTCTGCATATACTTGCGATATCTATAGCTAATGCCGGTGCGAATATGAAATTGGACAGCTAAAACCGTGTGGCGTAGTACCAGGAGCCGTGTAATGCATGCACTCGTGCGAGTATACCGGAACGAACGAGAGGTGAGCTTAATGATCGATCAGCACTACACGGGTTACGCCAGGCGAGGCGGAGATCATATATCTCGCGCGGATGATCGATCGTTGACGGGCGCCTCGGAAAATGGGAAAACTTTCATCGTACAAAGGAGAACATATGATTCTTTCTGATATTGTGTAATGTTGCCGAAACTCGTGAAGTTCGAAGTACAAGTGTTGCTTAAATCTTGTAAAACGAAGAAAATAGCATTAGAAACTCTAATTATGACATTCATTATCACATACGTGATGTCTTCTGTGATTGAGCCGATAGCATTCTAGAAATCCCAATTTTAGCTTCAATAGATTCTTTTACAAATTTCGGGATTTTTAGATTCTGGCTATTCCTTGAAGAAAAATTTGAAGGAAAAATATAAATCATACTGAGGCTACTCTTAAAAGTAGAATAAAATTAATTTCGGGAAGTATTTTATTGAAATGATGTAATATCTAAGAGGAAAATTTTAACTTATTTCCTATCTTTATAAATTTAATGTAAAAATTTTCGTATTTTGTACCTTTTATTACAATCAGACAAAGAAATATTGAATTTGTCATTGTAACCATGCATAATATTTACTACTATTAGTCTTTTCCTTTGTCTTCCAATACGCATCATGGAATCCTTTGTACTGCATGAAAAATAATTAAAATCTATCTTCTTCAATTTTTTAAAAATCTACTAAAAACAATAAGCTCTTTACGTAAAAAAATAAAATGCGACAAATTTGATTATACCTTTTATTTTAATTATGTATGCAGAGTTTATGCAGAAAAAATATTACTTTCCTCTTATTTAATTAACAACTTACATGTAAGAACAAATCGTACAAGTAAAGAAAGTATATTCCCAGATAAATTGTAAAATACAGATTAATGTAATTCTACACTACATCTCTTAGAAGTTAAAAATATTGTGTTAAATGCAATTTATGCGCATAAATATTATTCGAAGTCGAGATAGAAAAAGAATTTTATTCTTTATGAAGCACAAGAGTTCAACTACGTCAAGGAAACTTTTTACCTTATAAATGATCCCTCCATCCTGTTCCGAAACTTTTATTGACTGGAAACGAGTGCAAGGAACGCCGTTGACTCGTAATGCAAATATTGAGACCGAAATGACAGTTTCGGCCCAGGTATTATCGCACTTCCGCCGTAAATGAACGGTCTCATTACAAAGAAGAAACCCGAATCCAGGCTGAATCAGTTTCCAGGTCGGCTTTCGTGATCCGGGCTAATAGAAGCTCCACCTAGGGCATGCCTATCTAGCAAACATACTCCAATTACTCGAGAACACCGTCTTTGGCACACTTCCATGGAAGTTGCATAAATTATTTGCTGCCCCGCTGTTTTATTACGTATATGCCCAAACGAATTGCGTTTCCCAAATTACACTGGCGTGATCCTCGAGGAAATCGTCTCTTTAAAAAACAATTAATTACGCAACACGTCAAATAGTCAATTCTAAACATTGTTAATTTCTAAACTCTTTACTCAATTAACAATTACAAATGAGATTAGATAAAAATTTCTTTAATCTTTTTTTTTATTAAAAAAAGGTAATATTTATATATTGTACATACAAGTACGTGTTATAAATATTATTTATGATATTTTGACAATAAACATGGTATTTTCTTCCTGGATATTTAAAATGTTTAAATTAACTTATTTATCATTTTTTCTTTGAAAGAGTGAATAGATATAGTTATTTATCATGCGTTTTCATTGAGTATTAAACATAAATTCAACAAGCAGAAAACAATAGCGAGATGTAAAAAGCTCCTAATTTTCTTCTTTTTAACGTGTTTCACTTCAGGTTAGTATTTTAATTTAACTTGATTTTTTATATTCGAATCTTCATAATTCAAAGGATATTTGAAAAGAAAAAGAATGACAACGAATGAGCAGTTTAAAACGTAACAACGCTTTATTTTTTAGCGTTTGTTTTACGAGAGATTGTCATTTTCAAAATTTGAATATGGCGCGCCAGCGCTCGTCTCGTCGCGAACCCGAGCGAAGCGAGCGATTCGCGCCGTTTGCCGAACGCATTCGCGCCTCGCGCCTCGCGGTCCTCGCGGATTCGGCGGATTGCATTGCAGCCGCGTTCGCTGTCACCGTCGCGTCGTTCGTAATGACCTGCGATCTTTCGGCCACACACAGCCGCGTAGATATTCGGAAATCCAGGTAATTCTTCCGCATTAAAGCTGTTGGGCCGTTAATCTCGAAGCTCATGGCGTAATACTTCCGAGTAGTCGTCGGGATAAAAGAACAGAGCCGAAATTAGTATCCGTGACCGGCTCCGACGTACGCCGCGACGCGACGGTCAAACAAGTAGAGCACAATCTCGATCTTGACTCTTCGTCTCCGCGCAAAGATCTAAAATATCGACGAGAGAAAGAGAGATTCGAGACACGGGAAAGGCTGGCGGTAAATAAGATCGAACGAGGGATATCCGTAGCGAGGTCGAGTCCCTTAAGGGCCGAAGCACATAATTTAACACAGCGTAGCGATATACGACGGTCGTAGTCCCCGACCTGACAGATCAGGATACGCCAAAGCTTGTGCGTTACTTATACGTCCACGACTACGACTGTCATATGTGCTTTGGCCCTAACGCGTTTGGGATGAGAGGATATAAAAGATTCAAGGCGTCTAAAAGATTCAAATATGGCAGCCTAATCGCGATATGTATTTCCGAAACGCGCCGCGCCGGCCGCAAGCTATCGCGCAAATGTAACACGTCACAATGAACGCCCCTTCGGTCGCAAATTCGCAATTCCAGGTAATTTTTCCGCATCTAAAAGCCATTCATTAGTATCGCAGCGTATGATATTTTTTTTTTATATTCAGGTAAAAAAGGACCATGGGGAGAGCCCATATGGTCTAGCGTATGATATGATCGATGATATATTGTCGAGAAATCGCGCGCGCTCGCCTAACGAGAAGCAAAATGAAAATTAATATCCATGCACTAATTGTAAAATGAGAAAATTGATATTCGTGGAAGCGAGTGCTTCCGAAGCCGCATACGTAGATTATTCCTTTTTTTTTCTTTCGTGGAAATCCAAAAGATGTTCGAATTGTATTAAATTTAGATAAGAACAAATAAAGGATATTTACACACCCACGATACACCCACGCACACGATCGTGGGAAGGTGGAATTCTTGCGAAAAATCTGGGTTATCTGGCTAACCGTACTGATATATAATGCATCACGTAGTCCGTAATCCATTAGAGGCAATACATACGAGATATTGGAAGTAAACGAGCGAAATGTAAATTGATATCGCAAATATTTCAGCGAGATTATCAAACAGTTGGTAAAAAAATAAGTGTAAAATATCAATAATGATATTTATTAACAATAAACGTCACAGCGACCGAGCAAGTAAACATTCGGGTATTTTTCTTTTGCGCAAATATGGAATTATAAATTCAACGTAAATATAAACATGTTTGATATTTATATAATACTATATTTTTCATTACAATACAATGGAGTTTGAAAAACATCACGTAGACTGCACATTATTATGTTATAAAAATAATTTAATCCACGCAAAAAACGTTCACAGCGCTATAAATCATACACAGTATAAACCTGAATGAATAAATATCAAAATAATATCAAGTATGGAGCTTTATACAATGTCATGTGAGGTATCGGTAAAAAACCTGCTTCAACAATAAGTATCAATTCTAAAGATTTATGGCATTCAATATGAATAAGGCTTCATTCCAGACAATAAATGTTTCCAAATTAACGCGTATATAAACAGATATGTATATACACATGTATTCTATTGTGCTTTGGACTTCTTCGCGGCGCCCTTTTGCGGTTTCGGACGTTTGTTCGACTGGTCCGTCTTCGATTTTTCCGTAAAGTCGTATTTCTTCGATAGTTTCTCTCTAATAAGTAAGCCCCTAATAAGTTTCCTCCAATTACCGTAGACCTTCTTCCTCGTTTTCTCGGCGGCCCGTTTAGCTGATTCAATTTGTTCAGTTTCCCAAGCTTCTCGTAACGTATCTTCGTATTCGGCACATACGACATAGCCCTCAGTGGCCGGCACAGCGCCCGACCAACCAAAATTGAAACCCACTACGGCAGTCGCGCAATCTATGTTCAATTTTCGCGCGATGCGATTTAATCCTGGAACTACAAGGATTCATTCATTGAATGTGCACTAGAGATATCGCAAATATTGTAACATTCCCTTAAAATTTGTCTAATTTTCTACATTTTGCTATTTATTTTATTCGATGTAAAATAATGTGACGAAATGTTAAAGAGAATATCGTTAACATGACAGATATATTGTACTTACGGTTTATATGCACTGTGCCTTTTGGAAGCATACTCATCTTAAACAAATCCACACTTCCGTACTCGTTTCGAGGCACAATGCCATTTTTAGCTTCTGGGGGGTCGTAATCTGTAGTTTGCCATTCTCCGAATAGTTCCAATGCAGAATCCTTAAGTTTCATACCTGAAAGCTGCCAAATTTTTTGTTACATTTTTCATATAATTTTCATACAAATGAGACTAACACATGAGACAAACGTATTCTCTGTGTAGAATTCTACGAGGTATATTATTTTCACCCATTTTACCTTGTCATATTTTGGAAGTGCTTTAACTATTTTGTAAGGGTCCTGTTTCGGCTTAACTACACGAGCTTGCTTTAGCCAGGTCTCTCGCGAGCGTAGCGTATGTACGCAATACCGCGAATAAATAGCTTCGCCTGTTTTCAAATGTCCTAATGGCACACAATCCGGTGGATACAATGCTTCGTATTTTAGTAAATGCCTGACGAGAACGTATAATGGGTGCCCTTTGCACTCGCCAACGGTTTTAGGTAATGGTTGCTCCAATTCCCTGTGAAAACAGTGGTACATTAGTTATCTTTTGATATCCTTCATCGCAGTTGTGTCTAAATAAATAGGATAGAATCAAACATTAAAAAAAAAAAAGAAGAGATTACTTTTGCAATAGCAATTCATCTTCCTGTTTAGACATAGCTGTCTCCCTTTCTTGCCAATAAGTTAAAGTCTCAATCCACCATTTCTCATCAATACGCTGCTTACGTGTGACAGAAAGCCACTGCGGGCAGTAGCGTCTTGTAACATCCTTTACTAATCTTTCCGAATTATAAGCTATCACGTATAATACTGGCTTGGTTGCTCTTTTCTGAAACATTATTATGTAATAAATTTCATGAAAATCTCATAGGCAAAAAAATTATAAGAATTGTTTTGTAATTATGGAATTTTCCGCTACTTTTTCAAGTTACTTACATATGTTTCAGCTACACAATCTACATTTCCATCCATAACATTTATGCATATCCAGCTTGCTTTAGATTCCACGTATACTTCGGCCCATACATCTCGTCTCGTTTTTAATTTATTATCAGTTTCTTCATCCGTTGACGCTTGGTCTTTTTTTTCCTTTCCCTTTCCTTTAGATTTAATAACTGCTTTATTTTTACTGCTGCATCTCCTTTTTGATTTGCTGGGTGGTTCTTCTTCTTCTTCTTCTTCTTCGGAACTTGAACTTTGACTGTCACTCCGCGACTGTTTCTTAGAATTTCTCATTTTAAATCGATCATTTTTTGAAATAATCTTAGCGTTTTGTTGTTTGGTTGAAGTAGATACAACATCATGTGCTTTACGAGGTCTTAAACGCCTTGGGGATGAATCAGCCTCTACTTTATTTGAGCTTGTCGAAGCTGTTTCGACATTTTTGGACGTGGAAGCATTATCTTGCGCGGATATACTGCTATTTAACTTATCTTTGTTTTTCTTACTGTAGGAATACTTGGAACGAAGAATCTCCGCTGCCCTTTTCTTTGCTTCTACGTTGGCGTTACTTCGTGCAGCTTCGTTATTCTGAATTACATTGTTATTTCTGAGCTCTTTCTTTGATTTCACATTTTTCTTATCTTCCTTAGACGTCACCTTACTCTTTGTTTCCTTCGTCTCTTCTTTAAGTTTACCCACATTTTTCTTATCTTCCTTAGATGTCACCTTAGCTTTCGTTTCCTTTGTTTCGTCTTTAATTTTACCATCTTTTTTCGCCGTGCTCGTTTTAGGCAGTAATTCGTTGTAAGCTTTTACAAGCGGTGGATTGAGAGACACCACTAAACGACAATGTAAGCCGATACCTCGCAATATCGCCACGTACAATATCACCAATTCCCTGTAATTGTAAATTTTCCTCTCCGCGATTCTTTTCAATAACGTTTCTCTATTTATAATGACTTCGTTATCGCTAGATTCTACAGTAAAGATATTTTTAAACCATTTTGTCAATTTTGTCAGATATTCCAAATTAAAGTTGTCCTTTGGATAATTTTTAGTCGAGATAAGAGACACCATCGTTGCCATTATCTCAGGATCACTTGCTTGATGATTTAAGTAAAAACCATATGCCAGCCAACAAAGTCTACCAGCTTTTTCTATAATAATCTGATTGGCTTTCAATTTCCTTCGTAGAAGCGCAGTCAGATCGGACTCCTTCTTGCTGCCTGTTTTCTTCTTGAAAAGCACACTCGTGCCTGGCAAAGTTATCTTGACACCTTCCTTAGGTATGGTATAATCTTCAGGACGTTTAACATCCTCTTCCTGCTCCTCCTCGTCGTTCGTGTCCTCGTCATCCTCGTCATCCTTGCGGAATGCGTGTGCTCCGCTTTCCCCTTGAAGCAAAACGGCGTTTATCTCGTCCGATATATTTTTCCTCTTCTTTTCTATCTTGACTTCTTTGTTCTGCCGGATACTATCGTCCTTGGAGGAGTGCTGCTTAGGCTCCTCATCGTTGACATGAGCCTTCTGCGAGGCTTCCAGATTCTTGACCACCTCGGAGAACAGTTCGATGTCATTGTTCTCGGGCACACTCGCGAAATTGTCGTCGTCGCTGCTCTCGTCCTCGCTATCGTGCTTCACTAGGTTAGGCTTTGTCGCCGGTTTTATTGAGAAGAAACTAGCTGTCAGCTCGTCTTTTGGCGTGATACCGGCGAAATCGTTGCTGCTGTCGGAACTGTCATCGTCGGAATCATTCATGTTGAGTGTTTAGCCTGCAAAATATAATCTCATTAGTCTGCCGCTACTTGTTATTGTTCGTTATTATCGTACTTTACCTGCTGCAGTTCGTTAATGTCCTTGAAATTGATTTTCCTTATAACGTAATTTAACAAAGATTGATTGCCTATACAAAGCTGCCACAATTTATTGTATTTATATTATGTAAATGTATTTGTACACAATAATGTGAGAAGACACTGCACGACTGCACGTGTGTGACGAAAAACACAGGAAAGCATTGTTATGAAATAGTAACCTGTCTTATTACCTTCGAATGATATATAAGCCTGCTAGTTTATCGATAACAGTAAGTATAGTGTGCAAACGTAATATTATTTTGCTTTACAATTTGGGTCGAGATGAAATTTACTTCTGATAAACAATTGAATAAAATTATTCTTAATATAAAAAAGGACTTGTATTAATAACATACGTATAAATTTATTTTATACAGAGAATTAAATTAAAGTAATTATAAATTAAAGTAAATAGTAGAATTTAGTTAAAAATTTTTGTTAAAAAATTTAAGGTAAAAATGAGATACAAAGTAAAATTTATATTCTTTTAATATTTGCAATTTTATAAATTGTGAATTTTCAGATCAACAGCAATATTTTTGTTATTGCAACTTGCAAGTCATATTTTTAAAATCAACATTTTGCAATACATTTTTATAGTATTTGTTATTTGTTGAATATTTATTAAATAATTTTGTATATTCTTATGATATTTTACATTAGATCTTTTATCGTATTTTTCATAACTTTTATCGATTTTTGTAAAGAAAGAAATATACTAAAATATTTTTTACCAAAATTTTTTTATCATAATCGTATCCTCTAAATGCGATCGGAAAGTTATCAATTTTCTATAATACATTTATTTGACTCGAACCTTTTCTTAACAATGATAATAAACCGACTTTCGTGAATATGATGGATAGCGCGTAACGTTGACAACAAAGCCGCGGTTTACCCAGGCGTTCATTTATTCTTCGCTTTACGGGCGACAGTGAAATTTATATCCTTGCATAACAAAAGCTGGAGATTTTATGAAATATTACTGTAACAATGATCTCCTCTTGGTGAAAAAATTGCGGAAGGTGTAGCGTGACGGGAAAAAGCGTGCGCTAAATAGGAGAAATTAAGTGCGCACGGTAGTGTATGAATTTTGTAGCAAAACAGTTTTTCGCTGGTTTGAAAGACGTTGTCTGCGCACTTAAACTCGTTGTCCATTCAAATAATTCCCAGAATTATCTTGAAATTTGAATAGACACGTTAAACATATGAATTACATGCAAGCAGGGGATAAAATAACTCGGTATTACCGGTTACCAGATTTTTCGAATTAAATTTCTATTCAAATATGTATAATTAACTAATGAGTAACATTTATATTACTTCATCAACGTTTATTATTCAAATTTTATTTTGTATATAATTTTTGATCTTTTCATAGCGTTGTTAATTTGGAGTTTTATCGGTTTAGTATTTTATCATAGATGACTTTACAGTTATCGACGTTTTGGGGTTGAAGAGATTATCTCTTTTTTTTTTAACCCATTTTTATTCTCTAATGCTTGTAATCGAATCGACATGTAATGGTGCGATGATGGGTTTTCTACTACACGGAAACCTGCGTACAGCTGCGAGTCACATTCTTGATTATAAAGTGATGAATTATTTCGATAGTGTAGCGTACTAACGTTTATAAATAATGAGCAAACAGATGCGCTCGTCCCTTTTGCGACGTTAGCGGCTTTCTCCGAGCGCGTGCATCGCCTCCGGCAATTTATCGGGATACGTCGAGTTTGTCAGTATCTCGTGCACCTGCACTCTCTCTGAATATGGTTCGACGTAATGGATAATTGGCGATCCGATGGCCGATGTACAATACCTAAGTGCATTTATGTGTAAACCCGGTGCCGACATTTGCCTTGTTCAGTCACATTTCAAATCCAATGTACGTAGCATGGAATCCGATAAACTGCGAATAATAAACCATGCATGCATGCATGACTTAGAATGTTCCATTCTCCGCAGTTGAGTATTCCGTGATAAATCGGGATTTAAAGCTGAGCATATGTTTTTTTGCAACCTGTCAATAATCAGTATTAAATATCACAATACACAATATATAATTGTATTTAGAAGTAAACGGAAAATAAGCTTATATATAGTTGTGAAAGAGCAGAATATTTTAATTTTTATAACTGGAACATTTATCAATGTTTTGATGTTAAAACGAAAAATATTGTTTTCAGATTTGGATTATTCATGGTCAAAAGGATACGATGGATGCTTGGAACACCACGTATCTTCAATATCAGTGTGCAGGATAGGTGTGAGGATGCAGTGTGGACTTCTGATAAAGGTATGTGCATAAAGTTATCGAAACCAAATCTTGAACAGAGAACGGATCTCTCCATCGTATAAAGCTGTCGTAAACAGCCGCATGCATATACATGAATTTATGAAGATTTATTTGTGGGTATCGATTGTTAAGATATTCATAGTTGGAGCTTATATTTAAGACCGTCTTAAGTTTATCTTTAGGTACGACTCGTTTCAATGACTACGGAGTAGGTGAATTTAAGACGATCTAACATGTATATAAGATCTTATATATACCGGCCCAAAAGTATTTAATATACGGGGTTGCATTTCGTGTTCAGATCATCGTTACGATCTTTTTTTACGTTCCCTCGAAGAAGACTGACCTGTAGATAAACACAATCTGATTTTAATGAAATTATAAATTACAAATTATACGGAGATGGAGAAAAATATATTTTCTATCCACGTGGGACATTCATGAATGTAAAATAACCGTGTCTTATATTTTATGCTTCAAATTTCAAACCTTTTAAAAAAGTTCTACTGTGTTTTTCATATTCCAGTAGCTTCATTATAGAATATACCTCATTAATTATGAAGTATGTTATGATTCTCTTTTACATATACATATATTCTCTTTATTTTGCAAATTATAAATTCAGAAAACATGATAGCCTGGAAAATTGGAAATTATTACAATACTTTGTCTACATAAATTGTAAATTGTGTAGCTAAATTATGTACATTATATATTCTGCATATAAATACATAGACAAATTACGTAAGAAAATATCAATATTTAATTGTTTGTACAGAATTTTATCAATATTAATACGTAACATTCATTTCATAATAATAAGAATATATGTTAAATATACTTTTGTTATGTATAGGATGTACTAGAATTCTTTAGTTTTTGAAATTTTACTAATTGATAAACAAGCAATCGATTTTCATAAAAAAAATTTTACCATTTATTTTTTATAGAATATTTTCTAATAATATACAATTTTAGTATGCAATCTCATTTATTTTAATGACACTACGTAATGCACATAATGCGTAATGTGCATTTACTGCGTCTATACATGTAGCTTTAATATACATGTACCTTGATATTGTTCCTCTATGAGGATATGAGGATATGAGATAATTACAGCTTGCACAGCTGTTCCGAGATATGGTTTGTTCGGAAGCTGGTTCGAGATGTAGCTAATTCAAATTGCGTTTCCGGTATCAAGCATTCGTTAAGACTTTTAATTACTCCCAAGCCACTTTCAAGTATAAAGTTTCTAATTAAGCACTGTTAAACTCTGTGAAATCAGTTTCAACTCTTTGGATTAAATGCATATTTAAGGAACCAGTTGGAATGAAGCAATTACAGGATCTGTGACTTTTGATTTAAAGATATTGATTCCCAGTTTTAATCTGTCGGAAGTTTAAATAAAAAAGAAAAAAAAAAAGATAGATGGTGTCGCGCGACTGTTTATACAAAGACACTGTCGATATGTAATACTTGTTAACAACATAAATCGATGCTTATTATTATTCATGCTCGATTTTATTTGAATACACAATATTATCATTTGCATACATTTTTTTATATTTTTTACAGATTCATACAAATTTTTTTATTATATATAATTCTCGTGTTTATTTTATCTAAATATAGATTTTGACTAATATCTTTTTTACAAATTAAATTCCAGAGAAAATAGATAAAACTTCTTGTCTTTTCACTTAATATCAAGCAGACTTTATTATAATAGCTTATTAATAATTTGTGAATTAGTAAAATGTATCGGAGATTAAGCGTTAAGAAGCTGTGAAAAAAGATAGTTCAATTAGATTAATTCTTCTTCGGAAACTTTAAATGTTTAAATTGATCAAGAATTTTTAAATAGCTAAAAATTTCCATAAATAGAACATTCCATACATCTGAAACTCAAGAAGCAAAACTTCAACTAAAGTACGTTGAGTTTTTGGTATGTGCTTATTAAAAGCAATAATAGTGTTTTATCTATACGATACACTGATATACACCAATTGTTGCAGTATGCAGATTCACAATAACCAGACATCGCGACACGTGTCTCGATGTAATTTACTTCGTCATTGTTAGTTAAATACGGTCGATAAAAACAACGGTGTTGTTTTAAATGACCAGGTCACGCGAAAATTAAACGTCATTCGTAAGCTCAATTGGAAACAAATAACCGATAAAAACGACATTTGCCCATGCGCTTAAAATTATTTAAACGTATTGGGAGATAATGCAAACTTTACACCGACGTAATAATGTATATAATTCACACTTAATCATCACATATCGGCCGACATGAAGAGATTATACGATATTTCTAATAAAAAGTAACAAAAAAATCTCTTTAAAGCAATTTTATCATTGCTTTCTATCATCGGTAATCAGTCTGTACAGTGTTTGAGTATATTCGATCTAAAGGAAGTAACATCATTTTCCTGAAAACAATGTTATTTTTATTAAAAATTCGATATGTTATAATTTTACAGGGAATATTAAAAATTAATAAGTTTCTTAATTCATTACTCATATGGTCGTTGTACAGGTATAAGAATATCGCTGAGATGTTCTCGGTTATTCTTACTTTCCAACTACCGCCAGGTCATTTTCAAAGTGTGTGTTTTGTGTGTGTGTGTGTGTTTTTTAAATCTTAAATATAATTTATAATTAATGGATCAATAATTATTTATCACTTCCACATTGTTATCTTTAAATATAACATAGAAATTGGCATGTTCCGCAGTAAAGACAACTATATTATATGACGCAATATAAATACTAGCTCTTACAATATATATTAATCTTACAGCGGGATATATGTCCCGTTATCATAATATCGATAATAATAACGCAATTTAATTAAATTAAACAATTAATGAAATAAAATTACAAACTCGATATTATTACGTTCCATGTAAAAGAACAAAAGGATTATATTTATATAATTTATATCAAACAAAATATGAAAATTACGTAAAAGACACGAACTTGCATTTTTGCGTTTAATAAATATTTATTATGTTAGATTGGGCAGTTTGACGGGACATTTAACAAATATTTTATCATGTTTTATCTTAGGATAGAAAGACTCACATAAATATTTGTGACAGTGTCAGCCCTTTGTCATTCTCGCTTATTTATTTTACTTTATCTCGCATTTTCTTTGAAATTCCACGTTTGTATTTACGTACACCTTATACGCGGTATAGTTTCGCTTTTGAGAAACGCGAAACGAAGTATTGGGAGATCAACGACGTCTTTGAAAGTGGTGAGCGTCTGCCTTTGTTAACGTTGTCAAAAGGCTTCGAGAAACACGAATCTCCCAATTGATCCTCGTAATTGGCTCCCAACCTAACGTCACTTTAGCATGAAACATGTTTCTTCAAACGAACGTAACGCATCTACTGAGATTTCCCAAAAGTATAGTTTACAACATAACTCAGATACGAAGATCATTTAACGTATCGACCGACAAACCGCATTCATTAATTATCATTTTTTTGTCAACTCCCTTCGCGAAGTAATCAACGAACATTTTGCTATCCGCTACAAAAACACGTAACACATTTGTAGGGCTGATTTCAGCGCTGATTTATTTTGTATATAAGCATATTTGCTATTTCTTTCTAATGAATCTCTATCACGAAAGGGAAATATTACTTGCAGCGCCTATCTAATGGTACAAGATTGCATAGAGAGATAATGTTTTTGTTCCATTGCCAACGTGAAGAGGGTTTAGCTTGATATCATACTTATCGTACAACTCATTTCGACTAAACGAGGACATTACTTATCTCATAAGAAGATTTGCTTCAGCCATTTTGCTGAAAGTAATAAATCATTCTCTGAATCAGGTACTTTTTTCACTGAAATGAAGAAGTGATTCGTATTTTATAGGAGGAATTAGCTTGTGAATCAAATTAGAGAAATTGTACATAATCTTGCTGGAAAGAAGTCTGAAACTGATTCATGATTTGATCTTGAGTTTTACATATATTTTTATCATAATTTCATATGAAACAGCTTTTTCGCAATCTTAGAAAAATATTTTTTCCAATTTCATCCAGACATTTACGATGCAGTAGATTAACAATTCTGTAAATTTTTTAAATATGCACAAATATTAAGTCTTTGCGCTCCAATATTTAGATATACTGCGTTAATTAAAAACATTTGATTATTAATTTTATTATATAGATGAACTATCTTCTTCTTTCTCTTTGTCACAAAATATACTGTAGAGACTAAAAAGTTAACACATATTCAAAAATAAATTATATAGGTCACATATTTCTACGAATACAATAAATATACTTTTGTTGCGTTAAAAAATTGTATAAATAGAAAATATATATGATAATAAAATAAATGACATAAGGCATTATTAAAATAATCACAGAACTGAAAATAAAAGTATAAGAGAATAGAATGTTCGTGCAAACAATCCGATGTCTTTCAATAATGAAAATGAATTTGTAATATAAAAAGAATTAATGTCAGGGAAATGGGAAAGGCCCGTTGAGATAAAAATTGTCCGCGACCGCGACAATTTATCGAACCCTGTTGTGGGCGGACACAAATAAATATCCAGCTCCCGCGAGAAACTTTATGTGTTCGCGCGACTTACACAGCGATTTTTATACAAGACGATAAAGTTTTGCCACAAATGGAAGGCAACGATTAATCGCGACAATTCTCCGTGTCGCGTAGTAATTGTTGCGATTTGGTCTAAGAGTGGTTTATCGGACAGACGGAGTGATTTAAGGAAGTTCTAATTTATTGCGGTGACGCAATTCACGGATTTTTATTTCGTAATCCGTCGCTTCTGCGGTCTCTTGCAATCGATAAGGGTATCGAGCGCGTTGAACGTGCAATAAACGCAAGCGCGAGATTGAAAACGCGACAATTCGATTATTGCGCGTGTACTGCGCGCTTCTGAAATCAAGAACGGATGCCACTTTTTTTCATACTTGTTCTCGGACGGACGTTTGATATTTCGAATTTTAATAACGCGTCGAGATTTGAAAGCTTCGTTTTGCAAAATTTGATCAAATAGTCCGATTTATTATTGTCCAGCAAGAGTTTTTAATTGAAATGTATATTAAACGTTTTCAGACGCAAAACCATTTTGAAAGAACACTTCCAAAAAGAGGGACGTGAAAACGAGCGATATTTTCAATGATTGCGCTTTCAATGCTATTAAAGTCGTGTATAAAAGTAAGGCGACTTTATAAGAAATTTGTCAAATATAATATTTTAACATTTATAAAATAAATTACAACATATTTTAAAGTATTTATCAAATTTGTAGAAAACATGTATTAGCAAATTATGAAATGCATATTAAAGATGTATGTAACATTGTTTTTGAATTTACATTTTTGAATTTACGATAATGTTAGCAATAGAGATAATAATTAATAATGAAAAGCATTGTTGTGATAGTAATTGTAAAATCGCGTCGCGATTGTTATTGGAAAATTAATATTTTCATAATCATGATAAGGTTTCCCGCAAAAAGTTTTTTGCATAAAAAGAGGCATAAATAGCGTTTCACGGAGAAATACTTTGATCTTTTATTATCTTTTAAGGGTAAAATGTAAATTATGAATGTAATTTGCATTTAACTTGAGCGAAAGAAGAAGTTGCATCAAGGAGATTTTTTTTTAATATTCAACTGTATAACTGTGAATCGCAAAGCAAGACTGTCCTTTGGGCGACACAAATTCTACATCTCGCATTGCATTGTTAATTATGTTAATCACTGCGCTCGTTTTCACGGCGCTGCTTTCGAATAATTCCATAATAAAGTTGTCTATCCGGTTTGCGAGTCGGTAAAAACAGTATAGCAACTTTTATATTAATTCATATGTAATTAGTATTTAATTATTCTACGAGTATATAATTATATTCTTTTTGAGCTCGTAATTCTTTATTTTGATTTCTATGACAAATTAATTTATTATTTATATTTATCATTTCGTATATATATGCTGTATATATTTTCTAGTTTATAATAAATAGGTATACGAATTTGTAGATAATAAATCAATGGCAATGAAACATTTTTTAGGATTAAAAAAATACATTAAACATCGCCTTTTTAGATCAAATCTGTAAAAAATAATATTTTACAATAATTAAAAAACATTTTTGCAAATTACAAATAAAAAATTATTATAAACTAGATCCAAGATAAATAAGTGAAAAATACGTTTTTAATATTACAAAAATATTGAAATTTTTTAGAAAGTATCTTAAAAAACGTCTATTAAATTTCTAAGAACAAAATAGGTAACTAGCTGCTCGAATGCCATCTTGTTGCGCCACTATTCTACATTAGTACAGTCTAAACTATTTAAACATTTCGCTGCTGCTGTATTTTCTGAAGAAGCATGACGCCTTTGGACTTAACTGTTTACGACGTAGTTAAGTTAGTTATGTTCTATTTCCTGTAGAAAATTATACTGCAGCTTGCGCTAGGCATCGTAATGATCTTTGTCTGCAAATTTTAAGCAATTTAAACTCAGTTTAATAAGCACACGTCTTATGTTTCAACTAGGCTGTGCTGTTAACAATTCATTTGGCGTATACGATAATCTTAATTTGTCAATGACTGTTAATATTGACTAAGCAAAATGTAAATAGAACGTTGTTAGTGCATATGAGATCAATATAATTATTAATATAATAATTAACAATATGAGTTTTTGAAATGGTCAATCAGAATGTGTAATAAACAAAAATACAAACTGATTATTTTCACAGCATAAATAGATATTAGAGCGCAGAATTGGAAATTGGAAAATATGAAGAAACTTCTTGATAAATATATATTTTTCCATCATCGAATGTAGTACGGGGATTATAGGATCATTTTATATTCTATAATATGATAATTTTATGTAAATTTTAAAACAATTTTTAAAGTGACTTGTTGCGAAATGATGTACAAGCTTCTAATTTTGCTTTAATTAAAAATTTATAATGAACAAGAAGTAGTGTTTGTGAATAAAAATTCGCTATTCATGTAATAAGTTTTATAATTTCTGATACAGTCATCTGGAAAATTGATAATTTTTTAATTGAAGATACATCTTATAAATATGGAAGTACGATGGCATTATAAAATCACTAATAACAATAATCTGACGGTTTTCACATACCTATCACAACATTTGTTTTTTATGTATATAATTGTGCGTATCGTCAATTCGACGGCAGTCGGACACGTTGCAATGTAACTGATAAGTAACATGCAAAATTAAAAAGAAACATGTTGGAAAAACATAACGATTCGCCAACTAACTTAAACAAATATTTGTTACATATCTGGTGTGTCGTACGCCCGGGACGTAAGCCGACGCTTGAAGACGCCCCGGGCGTTGTAAAGTTCGCAACGACGATGCAATTAAGACCGGTGGCAGTAGCGAGCAAATAAATTTCACCTCTCTTTGCTTGCCGCCATGTTGGCGAACGGAGAACCGCGGAGGAAATACCTTCTTTCCATTCTCGCGGTACACGTGTTTAAAAGGAAGCTAGTCCAGCGAGCTGTTTACACTGGATAGCAAAAGGTTCGTTGATTTCTTCGACGCTAGACCTGGGTGACCTGGGTCACCGTGTGATTGGTCCCGGTGTGCCCATTGTTCTCCATCGGTTGATGCGGCACCGCCATCCATCTGCCGATTAATCGCCATCGATTGCAGAATAGCTGATTGAAGGTTGTGCGAAATTGTCGACTCATGGCGCAGTACAAGATGAAGTTGATGGCCGAGTTTATAAGTGTCAGAATGTCTATCACGTCGCCTGTCGAGAAAAGAAACAAACTTGATTAGTATAGGAAGTTTAAAATTGCCAAGAATGATTTAGCTTCAGAAACTTTTCCATCAACTCTTTAAACTTTTGAATAAATTTTTGAGAAGTTTGCCTTTGGAATTTGGTACATAAGTTTCTTGTTGATGAAGAAAAGAAAAAATTCTAAAAGAATCTTTAGCAATCCGAAAATTAAGATGCTCTTTTAATGATCTTCTGTCTTTAGTTGACCGACTAGTCAATTAAGTTTTACTTTGAGACTTAGCTATATATCATAGAGTCGCAAATTAAATGTAAATACAGATTTGATGAAAATTCTTCAGAAAAGTCTTTTTCTTTATCAAAAAGAAATATCTATGCATTAAACAATCGAAAGTGGATTAGGTTAAAGTTCGAATTTTCTGAGATTTTTCTCTTGTTTTTATCCAAACGTCTATACTCTATATGCATTACATTTCGAAAGGCTCAAAGATGTGAATGGAAGTTTTCACGGGCTTTACTAAAATCCTTTCTGTAATCTTTTACATGAAGGGGCTCGCAGAAATGTATTTCTTTTCGTACGTATTTCGACATTTCCTTATGTTTTTTTCGCGCGCCTTCTATCTCTATCTTCTCTTAATTTTAAAGAGATGTCTTTTTTTTCGAATACGCAATAATTCAGGTGCGTGACGTGAGTCAAAAACAATCGAAGCTAGCCTTGATTTTGGTATGGGCGAGTGGGCCGGACATATGGACTTTTCGCATGACGAGAGACGTTTGACATATAAGGATGTCCGACGTCCGACATAAATAAAACGATGTATTTTATAACACTTCATACACGAGAAAGCATGCGTTTCGGTAGATACATTCTCGACACGCTTCCGAGATTGAATGGAAGTCTCCACATACCATCTTGAATTCTTTTGCCGGAACGATGAAATATATAAATTTCGGACATATCGTATCGCTTTTGTTAAATAATAGTACCGTTATCGTAAAATATAAATCGTTAGGTATTTCGCACTATTTCAGTGAGTTTAACATTTTAATCAGGTAATTTTTTTTGGTTATAAAATTTTAAGTACCATTATACATGCTTCGCGAAATTTTATAATCTATGTTTATTATAATAATACATGACATTTTATCGTGAATGTCACATTAAAAAAATTTCATGATTATCCAAGAACTCGTTAAATCTTAATCTCTATTTTAGCGGTTTGGCTTAAAATATATGATTTAACATTATATCGTATGTGACCTTTCGCTTTTAAATATCAGAATTTAATTGACTTAATATTAAAATTGATCGGATAAGCCAAAGAAATAATTGATTTTGATGTAGACTTATTATAACTTTATATTATGATAAAGTTCTCTTCTCTGATTATTGATAATAATGATAATATTTAATCAGATTTTAACTGAAATAATACGCTTTCTATAAGAGCATTTGTACGTTTTATATGATCTACTTATGTTTTTTTACTCGATTTATACACATTGTAAATATTTGAACTTTTACATTTTAATTTATACAAATATATACAATTTAATATATACAAATATATATTAAAATTATCTTAATAAGGAAAGAATACTTATTTTGAATGGTTAATCTAGTTTTACTGTCATTTCTATAGAATTATTAAATTTATTTAATAGCAATAATAATAATCTCTTATTTTTTAAATTCTATAATAGTAGTTGTATTGTTTTAAACTTATTTTTTGGTTTTTGAATTTATTCCTCGATTATGTTTTTGCATATATGTATTTTACCATTATAAGATTTAGGAAATAAATCTTTTCATCTGTTTGTAAAGTTCGCAAAATTTGCACAGAGAAGTGACCTTGCTTCATATCTAACAATCTAATAAACAACAATCTATATAGTAATAAAAGATAAAAATTATGTACAACATTATTCTAAAGTTAAAAAAATATTTTTATTTGCCACATCATGTGTCATTACGTTTTACATTCGTAAAATAAATCAGTCTTGTCGGCTACCATAAAGTCAATAGTATCTACTGATGCAGATGCGTTCTAATTTTTGCGACGACGCTGAGGTCACGTCTACCACATAATGCCGTTTGGGCTTTGTGTACGGTATACAACGGCCGTTGTATATATAACATTGCTCGACAAATCGACCATTTGTCTTGCTAAGCGAAAAAATCTATTCGCGTTAGAACAACTTCCGCCGTGGTGTGCGGCAAGAATGCAAACACGTTGCTTCTCAATCTCTTTCGGCGCGCTATCGAACGATGTAATGTTTGTGTAAATTACCCTTCCGTCGCGTCGCGGCAAACCCACATGTATTTCCATGCGCGACCGCAAGCTGCAAACAATCCCAGCGAATTGTGCGCCGTTTCCTCCAGATCCATGTTTAACGACGACGTTTTACGATTGTCGGGAGGAAATAATAGGGAACTTTTGCGATACCGTACTTCGGATGGGGTGGACACCAAAGTACCGTGTTCGATATAAGATTACAAGATTACGCGAGTTTTTATGTGGAATTTTATCTTGGAAATATCCTGCCCAACATATTTCATATACATATATATACGTATCTTAGAAATAAGATATAGTATACTAAATGTCATATGTACATATTTTTTTAGAATGCATAGGTATATATATAAAGTATTAAAAAATGATGTTCTTATGTCATACTATGACCAGATTCTTTGATCAAATTGGAAGCGGATCAAGAATAATACGGTAAAAGTAGTACAATATGTAACACAATTAATATTCCTCTAAAATTGTGATTTATAACAACTTACTCTTCTCTCTCTCTCTCTCTCTCTCTCTCTCTCTTTCTCTTTTTTCGTTCTACACGTTTAATTTTATGATTACAATGCCACAATCTAACCGTATTTGCTATTCTACATTATACACACGATTCCACGCAACATCAGTGTTTACTTTACAAAAAGCTCTTGTTATTGCAGTATAACGAGAACCGCAGGGGAATACGAATAATAGAAGCAAGTTTAATACGAGTGCACATCAAATAAGACCTTCTCACTTGCAATACCTGTATCCTTTGTCATTGTCCTGACCGTTCCATTTTGGTACCGCGTGATAAGTACGGTGCATCTCAGTATCGAACGTTAAGTAAATACCCTGGAGGATTCTCGTAGCAAGAGTCGGTAACATCCCTGTTGTTTTCAGAAGTGTGAAAATAAAAGAAAATAAGACGAAAGATATTCTCATCGAGCATTCGCCAATATATAGATATATCCTTGTTTGCGATCTCAACCTCTGCAACGTAGTCTTTTATATCGAAATAGTCAAGTATTTGAAATCTCTTATCGTATATTTCGATGATAGATATTTAAATAATAAACATACCGTGGCTTTTAAAGCACGACGGAAGCAAGACCAGAGGTTGTGATCTGTAAAAATAAACATTTATTTTTATGGATTACGTTTATTGCTTCGTTTATAAGTGGGGAACTTTGTATGCATTTTAACAATATCAGCACAAATCATGTAGACATATGCGTTTTTTTAAATAAAAATAAATAAAAGATTACAAGTGAATATTTTGAGATACATATTAGCGCAAAAAATTATTATTATTAAATTAGGGATTAATTTAATAAAATCTGTTTTTACTAGATGCTTTTCATTTAATTTGTAAAATGTGTTTTTACCTTGTGGTCTTATGTCAGGATAGATATTTCGCTTTCATTAAAATTATTTGCCTTATTATTTTCCATAGAATTCAAACTTTCAATTAAAATTCATCAAAGAGGAACAATTTGATAAAAAGTCAATTAATATTGCTAAACAGCAGCAGATTCATGTCTTATATAATCGTTTCTAAGGTTATTCTGCAATATTTTAATGAGATTCTATGACATTTTTCAGAATATGCTGTGTAGCTTTCGTCATTGTCGTATCATTCAATTTATCAATTTAATGGTACTGAGAAAAATGTTTTAATAATCGGCTGAAATAAGAAAAACGGCAACGATCCTATATTCTATGTAATTAGATAGCTCCACGATATCTTAATGGAATTGCGTGCCACTTCCTAGGAAACTATCACAGTATGCCTCCATAGCATACTCCTCGTCTTCGTCAGAGTTCTGACGTTCTTACCAGTTCATACGATTGTTCTTGTCCCTGTAGAGAGGAAGACAACGCGAGCGCGAGTCTTTTCCCTCCTACAATGAGATTCGTGAGGACGCTCGGCAAACGCGTTTCAAGTGATCCTCAATCAGCGCGGTAGAATCGCAAGAACAAAGACCACGAACAGAATCCTTAGTAATGGTTCTGTACGCGATCTTCATCACGTTAAATCTATCAGGGCACTCTTCTTGTGATCGGAACGACCCTCTTCTGATTTCGATCAGCCGAACTGGAAAGATAAATTGCTCATTCTCTCCCTCGTTCTTTCGTTTTTGTCAGCGCGTTTGGTTGCCTTCGTTTCAAGATCCAATTTCGATGTCTCGATAACCTTGCAAATGTAAAATGTCGAGCGTAAGGTCTGACACGTTTGTGCCTCATTATAGCTGGGTTCGCAAAGCCGTTTATTAAATGTTGCTATATTGTGCATTCGTACATTTTGCTTTGAATTTTCCGTCCTTTCACGAGTATAATCTTTAAGGCAAATGTGCGAAAAGTGCAAACTTCAGCGTAGTGGAGCTTTTCCGAGTCATTTCCTACTAGTTCGTGTGTATATGATAAGTTCTTACGAGATATTTTGAATAGCAAATTGTTCTCTTAATTTATAGTTCAATAATGACTATATTTGTAATAAGAAATATCTCTATACAGGCAATTCAAATAATTTAGGAAAAATGTAAATATATTAAAAATATTTAAATTGATAACTGTTTACAGAAGTATTTTATAATATGTGTTAAATACTTTATAGAAAAAGATCGCAATAGGCAACCCACGTTTTTTAAATTTTAAGGACTCAGCATATCAAAATTTCTTCCAAAAAACATAATTTTATAGGATGTATAAAATATTGTAAAATAGATT